GGCTGAGCGCGGCGCCGCGGCTCCGCACTGGCACGCTGTCGGTCTGCGGCACCTGCTCCACCACCACGGCCGCCCCATCCAGCTCCTGGCCCCGCGCGCGCTCCTCCAGCTGCAGGAACTCTGCCGGGGCCAGAGCAAAGCGCCACGTGTTACAGCGGGGACGGAGACCACCCCCGCCTGAAAGAAGCAAGAGGGAGACCCCCAGAAAGCAGCCCGGCCCCAGAGGAACGGGCACCTGGCTCCGAGGGCCCCGGGCTGGACGTGGAGCCCCTCAGCCCGGGCAGCCGCGGGCCACTCCTGCCAACAGGACCTGGGTCCTGGTATCCCAGAGCCGTGGGGCTGGAGGGGAGCTCCAGAGGTCCCGTCTAGTCCAGCCCCGGCCTGAGGCAGGATCAGCCCTGTCCAAGCCAGCCCACTTAATCCAACCTCTTAGCAAAACGAAGCAAGGCTGACATCACACAAGATGCAGCACCCAACCCTCCCCAGGGAACGCAGAGGGACCGCAGCGGTCAGCATCCTGCTTCTATAAAAGGGTGTTAATAGATGCTCCAGAGACCCCAGGCCAGGCCATGTCCCTGTTGCAAAGGACGGCAAAACCCCCCAGTGCGGACCAGTCTGAGCAGGGGGGGAAATCCCGTCCTGCCCAGTGCAGTGTGGGCGCAGGGGCAAGACCCTCCAGCCAGGACCCTGTGGGTGGGTGCCAGCAGGAGCATCGGCCCGGCCCAGCCCAGCCCCAGCCCCAGCCCGGGCTGCAGCACCCAGCGCTGCGGAGGAAGGTGAAAAAAAACCCCAACCCGACACCAGTAGCAGCAGAAGGGGAAAAAATATGCCCTCCCGGCCCCATAGTTTCTAGGGTCAGAAGGGACCTGAACAGATCATCAGGTCCGACCCCCTGCCCTGGGCAGGAACGAGTGCTGGGATCATAACACCCAGCCAGAGCTCTATGCAACCTCCCTTGAAGACCCCCGAGGCAGGGGAGAGCACCACCTCCCTCGGGAGCCCATTGCAGAGCCTGGCAGCCCTCACCGTAAAGCAATGCCTCCTGATGTCCAGCCCGAACCTGCTCTATAGCAATTTGTGGCCGTTATTCCTTGTTATCCCAGGTGGAGCCCGGGGGAACAGAGTCTCACCATTTTCCGCTGGTCTCATAGTTTCATAGTTTCATAGTTTCAGGGTCGGAAGGGACCTAATAGATCTTCTAGCCCGACCCCCCGCCAGGGCGGGAGAACAACCCAAAAACACAAACAAAACCACTCACCCTAAAAACAAAAACGGGACTCAAATGAGTCCAGCCAGGTAAGTATCCAGCCTCTTCTTAAAGATCCCCAGGGTAGGGGCCAGCACCACCTCCCTTGGAAGTTGGTTCCAGCTCCTAGCCGCCCTAACTGTGAAGTAGTTTTTTCGGATGTCCAATCTGTACCTCCTCTCCATCAACTTGTGCCCATTACTCCTTGTTATGCCAGCGGGGGCTAGGGGAAACAGCGTCTCCCCCAAACCCTTCTGGTTCCCCCTAGTGAGTTTATAGACGGTCACCAGGTCCCCCCTCAGCCTTCTCTTGTGGAGGCTGAATAGGTTCAAGTCCCGCAGTCTCTCACTGTAGGGTCTGCCCTGTTGTCCCCGGATCATGCGGGTGGCCCTCCTCTGGACCCTCTCCATGTTGTCCACATCCCTCCTGAAATGGGGCGCACAGAACTGGACACAATACTCCAGCTGCGGCCTGACCAGCGTCGCATAGAGGGGGAGGATCACCTCCCTGGCTCTACTCGAGATGCACCTGTGGATGCACGACAAGGTCCGGTTAGCCCTGCCAACCATGACCTCGCATTGTCGGCCCATGTTCATCTTGGAGTCAATAATGACACCAAGATCCCTTTCCGCCTCCGTGCTCTCAAGTAGGGAGCTCCCCATCTTATAAGTGTGCTGCTGGTTCCTTCTACCCAAGTGCAGCACCCTGCACTTGTCCGTATTGAAACGCATCCTGTTCCTGTCTGCCCACCCCTGTAACCTATCCAGATCCTTCTGCAATCTCTCTCTCCCTGCTAGCGTGCTCACCTCCCCCCAAATTTTGGTGTCATCAGCGAATTTAAACAGGTTGCTCTCCACCCCAACATCAAGATCGCTGATGAAGACATTGAACAGCGCAGGCCCCAGGACCGAGCCCTGGGGGACTCCACTACCCACCTCCCCCCAAGTCGAATATGATCCATCCACCACCACCCTCTGAGTGTCTCCCCTGACTAGTTTGTAAACGGCCACCAGGTCCCCCTCGGCCTTCTCTTGTGGAGGCTGAACAGGTTCAGGTCCCGTCACCTCTCCTCATAGGACCTGCCCTGCTGCCCCCGATCATGCGGGTGGCCTCCTCTGAACCCTCTCAATGATGTCCACATCCCTCCTGACGCGCGGCGCCCAGAACTGGACGCAGTACTCCAGCTGCGGCCTGACCAGTGCCGCATAGAGGGGGAGGATCACCTCCTTGGCCCTGCTCGAGATGCATAACAAGGTGCCGTTAGCCTTGCTGACCGCGTCCCCGCATTGGCGGCTCATGTCCGTCCTGGAGTCCCCAGCGATTCCAAGATCCCTTTCAGCCGCCGTGTTGTTGAGAAGGGAGTTCCCAGCCCATAGGCGAGTTGCTGGTTCCTTCTCCCTAGATGCAGCACCTTGCACTTGTCTGCATTGAACTCCATCCTATTCTCATCCGCCACCTCTGTAACCTGTCTACGTCTAGCTGGATCCTGTCCCTCCCCCCAGCATGCCCACCTCGCCCCACATCTGGGTGTCATCAGCGAATTTGGACAGCGTGCATTGCACACCCACCTCCAAGCAGCAAAATCCACAGCCCAGGAAATACCCATCGCAAAACACAGGCAGAGCCACACTGAGATCAGCCCTTAAAGTAAATGCTGATGGAAAAGTCACTAGGAATTGATTATTTCTTCTCTCGCACCAGACAGGAACGAGGGGTCATTAAATGAAATGAGCAGGCCGGCAGTTTAACTCTAACACAAGGAAGCTGTTTCCCCAGCATGGCATGAAAAGGGACTCGTGGCCCCAGGGGTGGTGGGAGCCGAGAGCTCAGCCACATGCACCAGGGCTTGGACACATGCGTGGAGGAAAGGGGCATCGATCGGTGGCTCTGGGGCAGGGAGCGAGGGGCATGGCCTCTGCATCGCCCTGCCTGGACCCCAGTGCTGGAGGCGGCAGGGAGAGGAACAGGGGAAAACCCTGCTCGGCCCCGGTCACTCTCCGTCCAGCTCCGCTCCCTGCCCCGTGCAGCACAGGAGGTGGGCAGGACGGGCCCCGGTCCGTGGGAGCTCGTGTTCTTCTTGGCACAGAGGCCTCTCAGCTCCCACCACCTCTGGGGACCACGAGTCCCCCCTTTAGTGCCACGCAGGGGAAAGACCCTCCTGGTGTTAGCGTTATAGTGCCGGCCTGCTCGGTCCACGTGTGACCTGCTCGGCTTCCCCGGCGTCCCGCTCGCTCTGGGCAGAGGGCGAGAAGCGGTGGGGGGAGCTGGCAGCAGCGCGGAGCCCGGGGGCAGTGGGAGGGCAGGGCTCGGGCCGGGCCCAGGAAT